CCAGCCGGGGTTATTTAACTGTAATACAATACTACAATGCAATACAACTGTCAGCCAAGCCTGTCGGTATAGTATACTGTAGTATACTACGATACATCACGGCTACCAGCCGACAATACGGCTAACAGCCGGGCCTGTCTGTAGTATACTATAGTATACTACAATACATCGCGGGTACCAGCTGGCAATACGGCTATCAGCCGGGCGTGTCTGTAGTATACTATAGTATACTACAGACACGCCCGGCTGATAGCCGTATTGCCGGCTGGTACCCGCGATGTATTGTAGTATACTATAGTATACTACAGACAGGCCCGGCTGATAGCCGTATTGTCGGCTGGTAGCCGTGAAGTATCGTAGTATACTACAGTATACTACCGACAGGCATGGCTGACACTCGTATTGCATGGTAGTATTGTATTACAGTTAAATAACCCCGGCTGGAAGCCGTGATCTATGCCGCGATGTATTGTAAGTATTGTATTAAAGTGTAGATACGGCTCGGCTGCTACTGTACCCTTGGCCGTGTACGATGGTGTACATATTTACGCAATCTTTAATCGCGCTGGCTAAGAATAACCTGTATATATACAATAAATTAACATATTTTCCGTGTAAGACGTGGTGGCGCAGAGGGACAAGACTCAGCGTGTGTGCTGAAGGTCGTGAGTTCGGTCCCGGAATGCGCGCAAACGAATTTGAATTTTTCTTTTGGCCGAAATTGTTTTTTTTTCTCGTTTATTTACCTGTCGCATAGTTAGCTATATGCATTGGGAAGATGAATTTAGATGCATTTCGATGATTTTCGGAAAATTTAATGTAATTTTGGCGGTTTTCTGCTTATGAAACATTCTAGAACCAGTCTCCGAAATGCGCGCATTTTTTGAACGAACAGTGTACTATAGTACAGCCCGGCTGGCAGCCGAGCAATCGGAGACAAAATTTCCGGCTGTCAGCCGGCGTCAAACGCGCTAATCGGGTGAAATGAAATGCATATTTAAAAAATATGAACAATTTGATACTTCGGCAACGGCGAGATATAATTTTCTGTTCATGTCAAATGACATTTGTGATGGGAAAAGACGGATCGGAATTTTCAAGAACGTACGTTAACCTTCACGACAGGTATTGGGACTTGTTTATGACATGCTAATTTCACTTCAAAAACTGAAAAACCAATTCGAAACCAAAGTTTGAACCCCAAAGGCCAAAGAATGGCGTGTATATTTATAAAGAACACTGCTTGTTTTTGTGTGATATATCTTGCTCTGTTTTCACAAGTAGAAGCGACTAAATGCCTTGAGGGATTTTACTGCAGTGATGGCCTTCAACACTGTTGTTTGAAAAGCAATGTTTGTCGACGCAATTGCATTGGGGAGCCTTGTACTGGCTCTGGCCATTGTGCGCCAGGAGAATCTTGTTGTGATTCTAATGGAAAATGTGCCTTAAATTGCGTCGGAGAATTTTGTACCTCTGATAGCCACTGCGGATCAGATGAATCTTGTTGCTATCATGATCGAGTTTATAGTTATGGCACATGTGCTAGATCTTGTATTGGAAAATCGTGTGAAGATGATCACCACTGTGGAGGACATGGATATTGCTGTGGTTCATTTTATAAAACATGTGCCTTAACTTGCATTGGAGAATCGTGTTATTATGATTCCGACTGTAGATTAGGTCAATATTGTTGTGGCACTAACGGAACATGTGCCTCAAGGTGTAATGGCGACTTTTGTTCTGCTGATTTCCACTGCCCGTCGGGTGAAACCTGTTGTGATCGTGGTCGAAGTCATATTGGCAAATGTGCTAGATCTTGTATTGGAAAATCATGTTTAGATGATTCCCACTGCGGAACACATGGATATTGTTGTGGTTCAATTTATAAAACATGTGCCTCGACTTGTATTGGAGAATCGTGTTCCCATGATTCCGACTGTGGATTAGGTGTATATTGTTGTGGCGCTAATGGAACATGTGCCTCAAGGTGTAAAGGCGACTTTTGTTCTGCAGATTTCCACTGCCCATCGGGTAAGACCTGTTGTGATCGTGGTCAAAGTCGTAACGGAAAATGTGCTAGATATTGTATTGGAAAATCATGCAGTGGATGGTATAGGGACTGCGCATCAGGTGAATATTGTTGTCATTCTACCAAAACGTGTGCCTTCGATTGTATTGGAGAATCATGTAAATCGAATAGTGGCTGCGCATCGGGTGAATTGTGTTGTGGTGTCATTCAAGATACAGGTACTTGTGCTAGGTCTTGTATTGGAAAATCGTGCGAGTGGCATGAACATTGCCAATCAGGTGAATATTGTTGTGGTTCTGTTGATAAAAAGTGTTTGAAAACTTGCATTGGTCAATTGTGTAACTCAATGGATGACTGTTCTGTGGGGCAATGTTGTGATCACAATAAGAGATGTAAAACAGGAGGCTGCATCTCAGAAAGTGCACGTGTCTGGCATCTTGCAGTCGGCATAACTACTCCTTTGTTAATTATCACCTTTCTTACAGTGTTTTTCTGTTATCGCAAAGCCAAAGCGACAGCCTCGAGACGTTGTGCTCATGAGGCAGAAACACAGTCCACAACACCAGCAACTAGACTCTTTACAAATGAACAACAACAGCTACAAATGTATCAATATCCACCACCCCACCCCAATGAACCACCCCCACCGTACCCCAATCAACCCTCACTGTACCCCAATCAACCCTCACCGTACCCCAACCAACCCCTACTGTACCCTAATGAGCCCCCACCTCCATACAATGTAACTATGGCACACAATACAACAACAAGAATTTAAGGGTTTGTTTAGTTACTGTACTGGATACCATTTTAACATTTTTAATTAATTGACAATTGTATATTGATAATGAGTGTTTTAATACTATTTGTACTCGTGTCATGGGACAAAAATTTATCCATCCCTATATACTTAGCAGTTTATGTAGTATTTAAAACACAAGCAGGAGTGCTTTATCCTCATGAGTTATTTTTGAGTTTTTTGAATAGCTTCAGTTTGATATATAGCCCAGTTATCGTTCCAGTTTCCATAGAGTTTGAAAAACACCGATTCAACTGATTAGCTTCGTATTATTATTCTCACACTTCCAGTACAACTATGTATTAAACTGCAGTGTCAGAATTCTATGAAACTAGTTTTTAAGACCTCTTGAGAATGGTTCTCAAATCAAGCGTGAAATATATCCATTTTTATAATTTCAATAATTCTCACTCATTTGCCATTTGGTGTCGGCTATCTTGGAATAATGAAGTGTTCAAATGGTCACTCCAGAACTGTACATAAAGATCAGAGACGAACGAGACGATTATCATGTCACGCAGTCACGAAATATGATTGGTTAGGGATTGGATTATTATTGGATTTTGTGATTGCGTGATATATCACTGCTGGCTAGAAACGCTTAACATGTAAATGTATTTATGGATTTAGAAGCACTATCAAGCAAGATATTGAACAGTTCCTGAGGTGCCGTACACTTTATTTTAACTGCTATTTAGATAGAATACTATTGTTGTCAAATTGAATTGGTCCTAAAAAAGCCCGTGCTAGAACAAGAAGCTTACAACACTACCGTGCGAAGCAATTTTGTATTGGGGGAGGGGAGGGGGGGCTGATTAGTCAGGTGCGATTAGTCAGTCATTATTGGCCCTCTCAAACTTTACAGATCATCGTTTATAGTTTGCAACAAAGTACTTAAATTATCAGTATTACAGGGTAACATGGTTCTGATTTTTGACAAAATGAAGGAGAAAAAAGGAAATTTTAACTTTCTTAATGGAAGCACTGGTCAACATCATTGAAGATTGAACTTTGAACTTGCGAGTTCCGCGATCGAGGACAAAGAATTTCCAAGAATGTTATATAACATGTCAATTTCACTTCAAAACCAATTCCTTCCCCAAAGTTTAAAACCGCAAAGAATGGCGTATGTAAAGAACACAGCTGCATGTTTTTGTGTGATATTTATTGCTTTATTTTCAAGTTTTCGGTCCAATTGCATTGGCGAGCCTTGTACTCTGTCTAGCCAGTGCGCCCCAGGACAATATTGTTGTAATGAAACATGCGCCTTAAATTGTTCGTCTTGTTCCTCTAATAGCCACTGTTTAACTGGTGAATATTGCTGTGGTCTTAATGGAACATGTCTCTCAACTTGCCTCGGACAATTTTGTACCTCTAATAGACACTGCGGATCAGGTGAATCGTGTTGTGATCGTGATCAAAGTACTTTTGGCAAATGTGCTAGATCCTGTGTTGGAAAATCTTGTAAATATGATTACGACTGCAAATTGAAATTGGGAGAATTATGTTGTGGTAGTGATGGTCGAAATGTTAGTGGTAATTGTGCTAGATCTTGTATTGGAAAATCATGTGAAGATCATGCCCACTGTGGATTTATAGGCGAATATTGTTGTGATCGTGGTCAAAGTCCTATTGGAAAATGTGCTAGATCTTGTATTGGAAAATCTTGCAAATATGATAACCACTGCAGATCAGGTGAATCCTGTTGTGATCTTGGTCAAAGTCATATTGGTAAATGTGGTAGATTTTGTATTGGACAATCGTGTGGATATGATTACCACTGCAGTTCAGGTGAATACTGTTGTGGATCTAACAGAAAATGTGCTTTAAGTTGTATTGGAGAATCTTGTAGTCGGAAACACCACTGCGGATCAGGCCAATATTGTTGTGATTATGGTCAAAGTCCTATTGGAAAATGTGCTAGATCTTGTATTGGAAAATCATGTAAATATGATGACCACTGCGGATCAGGCCAACATTGTTGTGGTCTCGGTGAAAGTCCTATTGGCAAATGCGCTAGATTTTGTTTTGGAAAATTGTGTAAAGATGATTCCGACTGCAAATCACATGGATATTATTGTTGTGGCACTAACGGAACATGTGCCCCAAGTTGTAATGGTGAGTTTTGTTCGGCTGATTCCCACTGCCCGTCAGGTGAATATTGTTGTGATCGTGGTCAAAGTCCTATTGGCAAATGTGCTAGATCTTGTATTGGAAAGTCATGTGGATGGTATAGCGACTGTGGATCAGTTGAATACTGTTGTCATTCTACTAAAACATGTGCCTTTGATTGTATTGGAGAATCGTGTAAATCGAATAGAGACTGCGCATCAGGTGAATTCTGTTGTGTCATTCAAGGTAATGGTACTTGTGCTACATCTTGTACTGGAAAATCATGTAAATCGAATAGTGGCTGCGCATCGGGTGAATTCTGTTGTGGTGTCATTGAAGGTAATGGTACTTGTGCTACGTCTTGTATTGGAAAATCGTGCGAGTGGCATGAACATTGCCAATCAGGTGAATATTGTTGTGGTTCTGTTGATAAAAAGTGTTTGAAAACTTGCATTGGTCAATTGTGTAACTCAATTGATGACTGTTCTGTGGGGCAATGTTGTGGTCACAATAAGAAATGTAAAACAGGAGACTGCATCTCAGAAAGTGCACAGTCCTGGCATCTTGTAGTTGGCATAACTACTCCTTTGTTAATTATAGTCATTCTTACAGTGTTTTTCTGTTATCGCAAAGCCAAAGCCTCGAGACGTTGTGCTTACGAGGGAGAAACACAGTCCACAACACCAACAACTAGACTCTTTGCAAATGAACAACAACAACAGCTACAAATGTATCAATTCCCACCACCATGCCCCAACGTACCACCCCCACTGTACCCCAATCAACCCCCATACCCCAATCAACCTCTACTGCACCCTAATGAGCCACCGCCTCCATACAATATAACTATGGCACACAATACAACAACTACAATTTAAGGCTATGTACCGGATACCATTTTAACATTTGTTTAGTTGACAATTGTATATTGATAATGAGTGTTTTAATACTATTTTTACCCATGTCATAGGACAAAAATACATCCCTATTATTACATAGTGGTTTATGCACTATTTAAAAAACACTAGCAGGAGTGCTTTATCCTCATGAATTATTTTTGAGTTTTGTAAATTAAATATATTTATATCTTAATTGAGTCGGTTTTCTTTGATGAGCGAGGTGATTATTTTTCATAGTCACCTTCAATATTAATTAGCTGAAAAAATTGAAGAGAAAATCAGAAAATAGTCGTTCGTTTCCAACTTTGTTGGAAAACCTCTTCAATGAGGAATTAAATATGATAAACACCTCGAAAGTTGGGATTTATGTCCGATAAATTGGTATTTATCCTATACATATTTTTAATTTATATATCAGGAACAGTTTGTGCTAGTGTACTGTAGGTAATGTCAATAATCAATCGCGAAGGTAGCCATGGCAACTCGTCATGCTAATAAACTACATAACAATATATCTGCAAGCTGGAAATGCATATGTAAAAAAGAATATTTAGTGATTTAATTTGATACCAATACTTTGAAGTTCGCCACCTCGAAAGTCGGGGCTTATGTCAGATGATGCCCTCAGACGCTGCACATCCTCGGGTCAGCTGACATAAATCCCTCCTTCTCGGTGTTTATCCTATACATATTTTTAAAAATATATTCCTATATTGTAGGTAGTAATTTATATATCTTGAACAGTTTGTGCTAGTGTACTGTAGGTAGTGCCATTAAATCACTGGTGAAGCTATAGCCATGGCAACTGGTCATGCTAAAAAACTTCATAACAATTATATCTGCAAGCTGGAAATGCATATTTAAAAAATAATATTTAGTGATGGGCGATACCAGGATTTTTAATTCGATACCAATACTTTGAAGTTATACTTTATACTTTAATATTAACTTTTCTATACTAGACTACTAGTATTTTTAATATTACCAAAATAAACACAAAATTTCTATTTTCGACGCCGGAAGTGAGTACTTAAAATTGCCATACCTTTAAATATTAAAGGTATGGCAAATATATAAATTAAGTTTGTCTTATTTGAAAGAACGTTTGAAATGATATGTAAACTTTACAATTATTCCGTATCTTGTTTGGTTTTCGAAATAAATCGACTTTAATATTTTGATCAAAAGCAGCGTGCATTCTGCCATCTTGGATATGCATTCGATTAGCCTGCGAGCAGGCTCTCTCGCTGCTCACAGGGCCGGTACGTAAAAAGCGAAATTTTTATCTTGCAAATCAATATGAAACTCGATTTTCCGAAGTCTTTTTGGTACTCAATTAACTCACAACATTTCAAGAAACTTTTGGAAGAAATTTAATACCACATTACGAAGTTTTAACAAGTTTACCCTGTTTGCGACGTCATCAAAAACTTGGTTAACCAGGCACACCGAATAGCGATTTTGTACATAAAGATCAGAGACGAACGAGACGATACATTATTACATTTTCATGTCACGCAGTCACGAAATATGATTGGTCAGGAGGTTAGGGATAGGGTCTAGGGATTGGATTAGGTTTCGTGATTTCGTGATATATCGCTGCTGTTGCTTGGCTAGAAATAGCCTATAAACGCATAGTATGTAAATGTGTTCATGGATTTACAACTCTCCCCTTGACGAGTAAAATCGTCTGGCATTAGACAGAGTAAAATACTAAAGTAGGGTGCATCGCCACTCAATGGGTAATTAAGGCTATATTTACGCTGTACCAGATACCATTTTAACATTTGTTTAGTTGACAATTGTGTATTGATAATGAATGTTTTGATACTACCATGAAAGTTTTTTATACCCATGTCATGGGACAAAAATATATCCATATGAAACACTTTATATTATTATATACTATTTAAAATATCATTAATAATTCATAAAACTTGCGGCAAATCATGTCAGCCATAATATATCACGTGGAATTACTTTATATCTGATAAAACACATTCATGCACGTGGCATTATATA